ATTTTTTCACACAATATTTTTTTGAAAGCAGCGATCAATAGTGTTCAAAACCTTTACAATTGATCCAATATTTCCCATAGCCCCCATACAAAGGAAAAAACGTAGATCTCATCATATAAGGCCCACTCCCATATAAGGCCCACTTCCGAAAATCACTTAAAATCACATATTTCATTGTCAAATAAAGCTATCTTGATAAAATTCGACACAAATAATTTTGTCTAAATATGAATCATTCTACGAAATTTTTTTACGGATAGGCCCATAATTGGTCATAGATCCCATATAAGGTCCACTTCCGAAAATCACTTAAACGCATATATTTCATTGAATTATAAAGCTATCGGGATAAAATTCGACACAAATATGTTTTGTGTACATACAAATTATTCTAGCAAATTTTCCACTTAGGAAAATCACTTAAACGCATATATTTCTTTGAATAATAAAGCTATCGGGATAAAGTACGACTTGAATATGTTTTGTGAGCATATAAATCATTCTACGGAATTTTTTTCCGGATCGGTCCATAAGTTGTCTTAGCTACAATATAAGATTTACTGTTGAAAATCACTTAATTCCACTTAATTCATTATTAAATGATTATAACCGGATAAAATTCGACATAAATATGTTCTGTGTATAGATAAATCATTACATTAAAATGTTTTCGAAAAATTTTCTGGACTTAATTAAAATTAGATTGACATATATGCATATCAATACGGAAACAACAATTTTGCCAAGTTATCTAAAAATTAGATAATTAAATGGGTTTTAATTAAAAATATCTTGCTGATGGAGGCTTTTTAAGATTCGGCACAGCCGAATATAGCACTCTAACTTGTTTCCAAACTGATTTGTCATATATAAATAGTAATACATATAGTCAGGGTGATGGTAGTACTTATTTTATCATATTTATAAATTTTTTTATGATTTGATGTCCTGTAAGTTTACTTATGGTAAATTTTGGTCCGATCCCCCTAAGATTTTGGTTTCAATGAAACTTGTTATGTCAATGCTTTTTCAGCCCTTTATGAAGAATTTGATCCAATATGACCCGATGCTCAAAATATTTGACAGCAAGATTTTAGATCCTATAAAACTAGTTCATGATGAATTTTATCGTCACTTATAGGTGTTAATGTCATTCTATGAGAAAGGCCATTTAAAAGGGATAAGGTAAATTATTACCGATTCTCAAAACAACAATTAGAATTATGTTCCTATAAAACTTGTTTATGTCCAACTTCACTGATTTACAAAAATTTTGAAGAAGTTGTTTTTTATGTTGAATCAAGTTATAGTTATGAGCGTTAAAGCCATTTTATGAGGAGGACCTTTTATGGTGGTAGAATCAATTATGGACCGAGCCTCTTAATATCTGGCAGAGATATTTTAGTTTCTAAATAAAATGTTTATGTCAATTTCGTTGATATGTTGGAATTTTGAAGCAAATTATGAACTTTTAAGTAATTTTCTGAGAAGAACCTTATGTGGGGGGCAGGGTCAATTATATCCCCATTAATTTTGGCACATAGATTTTAGTACCCCGAAAACTTGTTTACGTCGAATTTCGTAGCTTTACTATTATTTTGCAGCAAGTTATGAGCGTTATAGTAATTTTATGAGGGGACCTTATATGGGAGGTAGGGTCAATTATGAACCTATCCTCATAAATTTTGCAAGAGAGTAAAACAATTTTATAGTTTAATTTATGCATATAAAAACAATATTTTTGCTAAATGTATGGATATTAATATTTTGTAATGAGTTCTGTGCGTTTAAGTGATTTTCGGGAGGGAATATTGTATGGGAGCTATGACCAATTATGGACCGATCGGAAAAAAATTTCACATTAATTTTGGCACATAGATTTTAGTACCCCGAAAACTTGTTTACGTTGAATTTCGTAGCTTTACTATTATTTTGCAGCAAGTTAAATATATTAATATAAATATATATATTAATATTTTGTAATGAGTTCTGTGCGTTTAAGTGATTTTCGGGAGGGAACATTGTATGGGAGCTATGACCAATTATGGACCGATCGGAAAAAAATTTCACAGTAATATTTTCGTGCATATGTGGATATCTTAATTTTGCAATAAGTTATGTGCGTACAAGTGATTTTCGGGAGGAGACCTTGCATGGGAGCTATGACCAATTATGGACCGCTCGGAGAAAAATTTCACAGTAATATTTCTGTGCATATTAGTAATACTAGTACGAAATTTTATATGGATATCTTAATTCAATTATGGACCGATCAGAAAAAACTTTCACAGTAAAATTTCTTTGCGTATGAGCAATACTTATACCAAATTTTATATTGATATCTTAATTTAGTAATGAGTTATGCGCGTTTAAGTGATTTCCGGGAGGGGACCTTGTATGGGAGCTATGACCAATTATGGACCGATGGAACAAAAATTTCACAGTAATATTTCTGTGGATATCTTAATTTAGTAATGAATTATTTGCGTTTAAGTTATTTTCGGGAGGGGACCTTGTATGGGAGCTATGTCAAATTATGGATCGATCCAGAAAATTTTTTCTCTGAATGAATTCTATTCACATAAGATTTTAATTTGTAATATTTTGTAAAGATTTCGACATTGTGACAGAAGTCATTAACAAAAAACCCATTTTCCGGGAAAATGTACTTTTGTATGGGAGGTATATGAAATTGTTGACCGATTCTGGCATTTTTCAGCAGGAGTCAAGCTCTTGTGTAGAAACGAATGTGTGGTGATTTTCATCGAATTATCTTGCATAGTTTTCAAGAAAATTACATCAGAATGTGTAAAAAATTCATATTTTTTTCGAGGTTGTTTCAAATTTTGACTCATAACTTTTCCCGGTGTGAACCGATATTGCTTATTTTTAATACCAAACTGCCTAGGACAATAATAAATATTTTGGGTGAATTTGGTTAATTTTTGTTGCTTCGTATTAACGTGAGAATGTGATATACAGACAGACGGACGTAGCTAAAAATATATACTTTGTTGGGTCTCAGATGAATATTTCATGGTGTTACACACGGAATGACAAAGTAATATATACCCTCTATCACCACTGATGGTGGTGGAGGGTATAAAAACAAAAATCTTAAAACTGACCTAGAATACATTTTCTAAAGAAATGTGGAAGAATAAGGGTTGTTTTACACATGTATAAAAACCCAGTGCACATGATTAACACAAGTGTTCATTTTAATCCTTATCACTCACTGTGTGTGATAAACATAAACACAAGATGAGGACTTCTGGGAAATTAGACCATTAAATAAGGGATGTTTCAAACTTATTATCGTTACGCATATGTATGTAAATATAGATAACCATAGAAGAATATGTTACTAGCAGATTGAAATACACAAATGATGAAATTAAATATAGGAACATGTTCAAGTGATTTGAACACTAAATAGATTTATTCTTAACATGTATGTACCAAAAATAAAATAAATAATTCCAAGCTAAATGAAAAAGAAGAGTGAATTCCAATATAATAAACAACATACAAGAAATAGATCATAAAAACAAGTTAGAGTGCTATATTCGGCTATGCCGAATCTTAAATACCCTCACCAGCAAGCTACTTTTTATTAAAACCCATTTAACTATCTAATCTTTAGATAATTTGGCAACATTTTTGTTTCCGTATTGAGGGTAGTAATATTTATGCATATGTTAAACTAATTTTATTTAGGTCCAGAAAAATTTATATTAATAGGCCAATTCGAAAACATTTTAATATAATGATTTATCTATACACAAAACGTACTCATTTTGAATTTTGTCCGGATAAAATCATTTAATAACGAATTAAGTGGTATTAAGTGATTTTCAGAAACATACCTTATATGGGAGCTAAGACAACTTATGGACCGATCCTGAGAAAAAATTCCGTAGATCCGGAAAAAATGTAGTGGAATGATTTTAATATAGACAAGTCATATATGTATCGAATTTTATCCCGATAGCTTTAGAATTCAATAAAATATATGCGTTTAAGTGATTTTCGGAAGTGGACCTTATATGGGAGCTATGACCAATTATGGGCCTATGCGGAAAAAAATTTAGTAGAGTAATTCATATTTATACAAAATATATTTATGTCGAATTTTATCACAATAGCTTCATTTGACAATGAAATATGTGTTTTTAAGTGATTTTCGGAAGTGGGCCTTATATGGGAGCTATGACCAATAATGGACCGATCCGAAAAAATTTGGTAAAATGATTTTTATGTACACAAAACATATCCAACTCGAATTTTATCACAATAGCTTTATTCATCAATGAAATATGTGCGTTTAGGTGATTTTCGGAAGTGGACCTTATATGGGAGCTATGACCAATTGTGGAATTTGGTAGTTTCTGAGAAAACTTCAAAAGAATTAGGAAAAAACGTAATTTTTTTCGAAGTAGTCTGAAATTTTTACTTATAACTTTTTATGTGGTGAGCCGATTTTGCTGATTTTCAATACCAAACTGCTTAGGATAACAATAAATATTTTGGTGAATTTGGTTGTTTTCCTTTGCTTAGTTTTAACGTTTGCGTGTTTTAGGCAGACAGACGGATATAGGTAAATCGACTCAGAATTTCATAAGGACCCAGAATATATATACGTTGTTGGGTCTTAGATGAATATTTCTTGGTGTTACACACGGAACGACAGACTTGTATATACCCTCTATCACCACTGATGGTGGTGGATGATATAAAATTCTCTATTATTTAAAAAATAATCCACATTTTGAACATACTCACTGGTATAGGGTATCATATGGTCGGCCATGCCTGACTACACATTCTTACTTGTTCGTTATTAGAACACTTCTGGCTACCACGTAGTGATAGGGCCTATGTACATTAGGATTATGTCTTTATATGATCGGAAAATTAAACATACATATTGTGGATATTACAAACTGACTGACAATTTTATAAATGCCCTTCTTGCGTGAAGGTTATAACTAACATACCTGTTAATACATGAACTCGCACGGATGCTGGTATTGCACCAATCGGCGCACATGTGTAATTACCAGAATCTCTTAGTGATGCTCTGGTCAACATAAGACGACTTGTTGTACCGGTGTCAGTTTTTTCTGTTTCTAAGCTAATGCCACCACGTAATGAATCGAAATCCACAACCGAAGAACCATGGTACCTATAAATGTTAAAGACATTAGTAAATATTAAAGTATTATAATTTACGAATTTGGTAAATTGCACATACCACAGAACAGAGGAAGCATGTATGTTTACTGAACAAGCCAATGCTATCGTACTGTCACGTTTAACGTGTATCTCCGTTGAACCCAAAATATTTGCTCTGGCCGCTGCTTATTCATTAGAACGGAAAAATAATAAAAAATAAAATGAAGGAAATATGTATGTACTTTGGATGAATTCAAATTAACGATTAATTTGTGGTTCGAACAATTTAATATGTGTGTATGTGAAATCGGCTCGTACGTCTTCTACAAATAACCGTTTCGTGTAGGGTTTAGAAAAAACCGACTTTTGAAAAAAACGGTTTTTCGGTTAACCGAAAATTGACCATTTGTAGAAAACCGGTTTGTCGGATAACCGAGTATAGAAAACCGGTTAAACCAGTTAACCGAAATGTTTGGAAATCTTTAAAATATTATAATATTTAGTTGAAAAATGTCATTTTGCGAAATATTATGAATTACTTAATAAGATATTTGCACTTTTTAGTTTAGATATGTACATTAATCCTAATCCTAATATCTATCTATATATATAAAAATGAATGTGTGTTTGTATGTATGCTTGTTTGTGCTTTATAGACAGCTAAACGGCTGAACCGATTTCCTTGAAATTTTCAGAGTGTCTTCAGCTATGTCCGGAAGGAACTATAGGCTACCTTTTGTTTTGGAATTTCAAGTAGGCGAGGTGCCACGCCCACCTACAAAATAAGTATTAAAAGTCGCATATCTCAGAAATTGCAACAGCTAGAGTCCTCAAATTTTGTATGAAAAACTTTGCATTCATATGAACACATGTTGACAATATATATATATATATATATATATAAATATTTAGGACGGACTACCAATAGGAGGCGTGGCGTCTCCCATAGGAATTAAATACCAAAATTCGTTTATCTGGAAAACTATTGGAGTTATAATCGTAAAATTTAGCACGAAGACCTTTAACATCCATTTGAATATTTGCGAGAAAAATGGGCGGACTTTCATAAGCGGGCCTTGGCACCTCCCATATTAATCTATCTATCTTCTATATATATATATATATATATATAAAGTAGCTAAAACCCGGCGTGCTTTGCTACTCCTGTCGATATAAAATAAAAAATTTTCAAAATATATTGATATACATTTTTTGTTTACAAAAATTTAATTTTTATTTGTTTGTCACTATCTAAAATTGATATTTAAAGTATTTTATTAATTAACTAGCTATACCCAGTGTGCTTTGCTACCCCAAAAAGGAATATCTATATATATATAAAAATTGATGTGTGTTTGTTTGTATGTTTATATGTTTGTATGTTATAGACTACTACACGGCAGAACCGATTTTATTAAAATTTTCACAGCGTATTCCTGTATGTCTGGAATAGGTAATAGGCTACTTTTTATTTTGAAATTCCAAGTGGGCGATGAGCCACGCCTATATTAAGAAAATATTAAATTCGTATATTTTAGATAATATAACAGATAGAGTCCTCAAATTTTGTCGCAGCAACTTTAGTGTCAATATAATTATTTAGGACAAAAAGTAGGCGGACTATCATTAGGGGGAGTGGCACCTCCCATATAAATTAAATACAAAAATACGTTTATCTTGGAAACTCTTACAGTTAGAATCTTCAAATTTTGCACGAAAAACTTTAACATCCAAACTTAAACATTTTGGGTAATAAATTGGCGGACTACCCATGAGGGAGCGGCACCTCCCATATTAATTAAAGACAAAAATTCGTTTATCTGGAAAACTAATGGAACTAAATTCTTCAAATTTCGCACGAAGAACTTAAATATTTATCTGAACATTTTGGAGGAAAAAAAGCTGACTTTCATCTGGGGGGTCTTGAAGCCCCCACATGAATTAAATAGAAAAATTCGTATATCTGAGAAACTATTAGAGCTAGAATCTTCAAATTTTACATGGAGAACTTTGAAATTCATGTGAACATTTAGAGCATAACGGGCGGACTTTCAATGGGTGGCTTGGCACAACATGAATTAAATACAAAATGTCGTGCATATTGGAAACTCTTATATTATTTAAATTTTTTATAGATATATAGAAATTGGCGATAGATAGAAACTGGCGAACTTGCAATAATTTGCTTGAAATCTTTCATATGTAACATACAGGGATGGCAAAATTGGTACGATCGTACTTTTTTTGATACTATTTGATGTTCAAAAATACCGTGATCCGAGTCTTATTTGATACTCTCAAAGTATCTTTGAAACAATGTATCATATTTTTCAAATTTAAAATTACAAGAATGCTTTGGCACATATTTACATATAATTCTCAAAAATGCATCAACTAAAAGTTTTAGAAAAAACGGCTAATAAAATTATAGAGTAATGGAATTCTCTTCAATATTACCAGAATTTAAAAGATCTACTTTTAAAACGACTTTTTTAGAAGTATGTTTTGCAAATTATCAATGCAGCTCATTTCAAAATGGAATCGGAAATTGTATTTATTTTTATCTTGATTGACATTATATGAATATTAATCTAATTAAAATTCCGTTGTAAATATTATATGATATATAAAATTCTAACGTTACTGACTGACTGACTGACTGACTGACTGATTCACTGACTGATTCATCATCGCACAGCCTAAGCGGTTGAAGCTAAAGAGCTGAAATTTGGACAGGAGGTTGGTCTCCCGCCAAATAGATCCACTAAGACGGGATTTTTGGAAATTCGAATGTTTAGGGGGTAAAAAGGGTAAAACGGGTAAATTCGGTAACCTTATATCTCCTAAACTAGAAAAGATACAAAAACAGTTTAAAGCTTATCGCCGTTCATTTAAAAAATAAACGGACAGGTGTCTGGTACTTTTTTAAAATTCGGCCCCTTTAGGGAATAAACGGGTAAAAACTGTATTTTGGTACTTTTTTCGCACCCCATATATCTTTTAAACCAGTGCACATTCAAAAAATATTTTTGACTCCTTCATAACTTAACGAAAAAAAAAATATGAATTTAGTACTTTTTGGATATTCGGACGTTTAAGGGGTTAAAATTGTACCTATTTTTGGTACTTTTTTCATAAAACATTGTTTTTGGTTTATTAACTTATACATATGAATACATAATAACAGGCTCCCACTACGATGTTGCAACTTTTTGGAATAGAATTTTTATTTCGTTAATGGGGAGGAAAAAAGTACCAAAAGGGGTTAAAACGGGAAATTTGATTTTATTCAACCACAATGATCCAATTTAGATAAAATTTTTAAATTTAGAAACACTAAATATCCTAATGGGGTGTTATTTAGAACCCCGGTATCAAGTGATATTTTTTGGTACTTTTCATTCTCCAACTGGTCCTTTTTGAGTTTTCTATGATATTGAAATAGAAACATGAAATTAATAATAAAGGGACTTTTCGCTACTTTTTCGTTCTACACAGGTACTTTTTTGAGTTTTCTTTAAAATTAAAGCTAGAAACATGAAATTAAGCATGTAGAGCTCGGAGTAAATGAGAATCTATAAAATGGGACTTTTTGGTACTTTTTCGTTCTTCAAAAGGTACTTTTTGAATTTTCTATAATATTGAACCTAGAAACATGAAATTAAACATGTAGAGACCGGAGTAAATGAGAATCTATAAAAGGGGACTTTTTGGTACTTTTTCGCCCTTCGACTGGTACTTTTTGAGTTTTCTATAAAATTTAACCTAGAAACATGAAATTAAGCATGTAGAGCCCTTATTAAATGAGAATCTATAAAAGGGGACTATTTGGTACTTTTTCGTCTTTCGATTGGTACTTTTTGAGTTTTCTATAAAATTTAACCTAGAAACATGAAATTAAGCATGTAGAGCCCTTAGTAAATGAGAATCTATAAAAGGGGACTTTTTGGTACTTTTTCGTCTTTCGACTGGTACTTTTTGAATTTTCTATAATATTGATCCTAGAAGCATGAAATTAAAAAAGGGGACTTTTTGGTACTTTTTCGTCCTTCGACTGGTACTTTTTGAGTTTTCTATTAAATTGAACCTAGAAACATGAAAATAAGCATTTAGAGCCCGTAGTAAATGAGAATCTATAAAAGGGGACTTTTTGGTACTTTTTCGTTCTTCAAAAGGTACTTTTTGAATTTTCTATAATATTGATCCTAGAAGCATGAAATTAAGCATATAGAGCCTGGAGTAAATGAGAATCTATAAGAGGGGACTTTTTGGAACTTTTTCGTTCTTCAAAAGGTACTTTTTGAATTTTCTATAATATTGAACCTAGAAACATGAAATTAAGCAAGTACAGCCAAGATTAAGTGATAACCTATAAAAGTGGACTTTTCGGCACTTTTTCGTTCTTCAAAAGGTACTTTTTGAATTTTCTATAATATTGAACCTAGAAACATGAAATTAAGTACGTAGAGCCCGGAGTAAGCGAGAACATATAAAAGGGGACTTTTTGGTAATTTTTCGTACTCCCGGTATCAAGTGATATTTTTTGGTACTTTTCATTCTCCAACTGGTCCTTTTTGAGTTTTCTATGATATTGAAATAGAAACATGAAATTAATAATAAAGGGACTTTTCGCTACTTTTTCGTTCTACACAGGTACTTTTTTGAGTTTTCTTTAAAATTAAAGCTAGAAACATGAAATTAAGCATGTAGAGCTCGGAGTAAATGAGAATCTATAAAATGGGACTTTTTGGTACTTTTTCGTTCTTCAAAAGGTACTTTTTGAATTTTCTATAATATTGAACCTAGAAACATGAAATTAAACATGTAGAGACCGGAGTAAATGAGAATCTATAAAAGGGGACTTTTTGGTACTTTTTCGTCCTTCGACTGGTACTTTTTGAGTTTTCTATAAAATTTAACCTAGAAACATGAAATTAAGCATGTAGAGCCCGGAGTAAATGAGAATCTATATGGGGACTTTTTGGTACTTTTTCGTCCTTCGACTGGTACTTTTTGAGTTTTCTATAAAATTTGACCTAGAAACATGAAATTAAGCATGCGGAGGCCTTAGTTAATGAGAATCTATAAAAGCGGACTTTTTGGTACTTTTTCGTCCTTCGACTGGTACTTTTTGAGTTTTCTATAAAATTTAACCTAGAAACATAAAATTAAGCATGTAGAGCCC